AACTTAAGACGTTACCAGGAAGAGTGGACAGGCAAAAAGGGATAGAGGCAGGAACGTGAAAGGCCAGGGTAGACAGCCTCTCACCCACATCTGATAAAATACAAAAAAGATAAGGATATAAGGAGATAAAGAGCAGCCACCTAAGTATTTTATTTAATACATAAAACACACATGTCCTTTTTACTTAATCATCAACTCTAAACCTAGAAAGCATTCCACGCACATACTTATCCATCACCAAGGGACAAGAAAAAAATCAGGTGGCCAGAAAGAATGTTTGTGCCCAGGTTAGGACCAAGGACAGCCAGAGAGCCAATCAGATGGTGACAACATCCCCGTGGCCACATGAGGGATGGGAGAAATCACTAGTCCTAAATAAAAAGGAGCTGAAGACAAAAATCCACAGGTATTCGCTTCTGATGCACCCTGCTCTTCCAGGGCAACTGTCTATCTTCTTTTTGTTTCATCTTTTCCCAAATAGAACATCTTCTCTTATTTTTAATTCTGCCTTTTTAATTCATTACTGAAGCTGGGAGTCCTGGCAGTTGCGTGTTTCAAACAAGGAACAGCGCGTCCATCCCACTTTGCTACAACAAACCCAAACACATTTTGAGATGTATCAGATATAAATATAAAATTTAATATTACAACAGTTCTTAAAAGCAGTAGGAGAAAATCTATGAGGCTTCAGCTTAGGCAAGGATTTTTTATATGACACCATAAAAATGACATATAAAAGAAAAACAGAATTAGGTTTTATTAAAATCAAAGATGTTAGTCTTTCAAAAGTCTGTTAAAAGGATGCAAGTTCAAGCCATAGATGAAAGAAGATATATACAACTCAATTCATATGCCTGATAATAGACTTATACCTAAAATATAAAGAAAAACTCCTTAAATATAACAAAAACACAGTTTTTGAAAATAGGTAAGTGATCTAAACTGGCCTTTCCCAAAGAATGTATAAGAAGAGCAAACAAGCAGATGAAAATATACTCAACATCATAGTCAGTATGAACATACAAAACAATACCATCACACACCCACCTAAAATTAAAGACTGATCCTATCGTGTGTTGGCAAGGATGCAGAAAATAAGTGGAACTCACGCTGATGATAAAGATCTAAAAGTGACACAATGACCTGGGGGAAGCAACCTGATTTTCTTTAAAAGTATTTTTTACTAGATGATCTGTAGGACCCAGAACTTCAATGCATGGGTATTTACCAAGAAAAGGGGAAGTAAAGATGCATATAAAGATGTACGCAAATGTCCACAGCAGCTTTCTTTGCAGTAGCTGACATGGGACTAAATTAGATGTCCTTGAAGAGATGATTGAATAAACAAACTGTGACAAATCCATATGGCGGAATGCCACTCAACAATAAAATGATAAATTCCTAACACATACTAAATATGCATGCAAAATTATGATGAGTAAAAGGAGCCAGATTTCTTTCTAAGAAGAAAAAGAAAACTGAGGACATTCTGTTTGATTTCATTTATATAAAATCTTGGAAAATGCAAACTACTCAGATCGGTGATTTCCTGGAGATAAGGTAAGGCAGGAGATGGCAGGAAACGAGAGATTACAGAAGGGAATAAAGAAACGTCTGAGGTTGGGCTACTTGAGATAGCTCAGCAGACTAAGCACCTGCTTAGGCAAGCCCAGGGACTAGGGTTCAATCCCTGGCACTACATGCTACACTGGTCCTGCCTCTAGGTGGGCTGAGTCAGCCAGTCTGAGCTGCATAGTGAGATCCTGTCTGTATCAAATACATTAAAAAACAAACAGAAAACTTAGCCATCTTGATTACCACAATGGTTACACAGGTATAAATTTTGTCAGCACATCTCACAATATACTTCTAGTGTATAGTGATATATAGTGATTTTAGATTTAATTTAGATTTTCTTAAAGACTAATGAGACATCGGTAAACATTTGATCACTTAGCCTTGTAGTCATGAGAGGGAACTGGGTCAGGTTGAGAACTCTGGAATTGTAGAAGAGATCACTGGCGCATTTCACAAGATTTACCCCTGATTCCAGAGAACCCTGTGGTCTCTAATAGCAAGCATTTCCATGGTGCCATTCCCAGCAGATGAGAGGTAGACTTAGTACCTTGGGCCCACTGCGGGACCTGCAGGGGCTGGTAACCTTCCAAGAACAAGAACATGACCTTACTGGCTGTGGCCCCAAAGGCAATTCCATAGGACCATCGGTTACTAAAAGTGCCCACGAAGTCCAGAGGCCTGTAGGCAACAGAAACAGCTTGTGAGGTCAGAAGACGACTATGAGACATCATTTCCAAGATCATTTTCAAAATAGCTTTCCCACCTGGAGAAGGAATTATGGGGTAGTGATCATTTTTATTGCAACTGAATTTTCTGAGGCCCCCTATGCTAGGTCTAGAGCTAGGCATGGATTCAAGGTACTGAAGTGAGGAAGACAAAATTCTTCCCCTGAAGGACCTCCACATTTAATAGGAGATGCAGCAAGGATGTTAGTAGCTATGACCCAAAGCAAAATGGGACAAGCCAGGTCCATAAGACAGCAATGGTATGATTTGACAAATCAAAGCCAAGGACATGCTCCACATAGATTGGGACAACCTGCCATATACCCAAATCTTCCCATGAGAATTCTTCCTTTCAGTATTCCTGAGGAGGGGCTGGGTATCATTTATGCTGACACCATGTGATTAAAGGTACTAATCCTATGCCACCCTAAAACGTTCCATTGACATGTAGAATACTTTAAATTAAAAAACATTTTTTAAAAAATCCAGCAGGAACAAGATCTCTCTGATCTTCGTGCTATCTCTGAAAAACAAAAGATGAAGCCAGGCATGGTAGCACACACCTATCATCCCAGCCTTCTGGGAGTCTAAGGCAGGAAGATTGCAAATTTGAGATTTCCTGGACAACAGTGAGCAAGACCCTGTCTCAAAATAAAAAATAAAGACTGGCTATGTACCTCTATGTGAAGACCTTAAATTCAATCCCCAATATTGAAAAAAGAAAAGCTCCCAAAGCCCATGAGATGAAATCCCATAGGAATATTGCCTTTCTAGTAGGGGGAAAATAACATTCTTGTAATGAAGCATGGGGAGTTGAGATTGAGAATTCTGCACAGATCTTACTAAAATAATTTATCCTCTAGTCTCTCCACATCATTTAATTACTTTTTTACAACTTTTTGTCTAGTTCAGTATGTACAGGTTTAACTTTAATACCATCTTTGGATTTTCATTTCTTTATGAGGATGTCTAGGTCATATAAAACTTGCAGTAAATACAGTTGAAAGATTTTCTCCTGCAGGCCTGTTTTATGTTGATTTAATTCTCAGGCCCAGTTTGAAAACCTGGCCTACGAGAGCAGAGGTGAAATTTTGCCTTCCCTCTATGAAGATGCCTTCCTGGCCAAGTGGCCTGGACTGTGGGTTGCCACCTAACTTGGGATGAGCCAGGCATAGGACTGGCCCTGTATTTTGGATTTATGATCCTGAGTGTGTGAGTCAGATGGCTGGTAAAGATCTGGTGTGTCAAATTACACCGACGCTGGATCAGAGTCAGCGCTAGAGGAAAGCCAATGTGATAGGGAATCATAGGTCCTAAGTCAGACAGCAGAAAGGAACATGGCAGCTTGGTGCAGGGGTGGAGGTGCTGCTAACATGGAGAGCAGAGAAAGAAAGAATTAGTCTCTCCTACAGGCTTATTTCTAGACAGCCAGTTCCCATGAGCCCATCTTTATTTCTGGGAAATATCAGCAATTCGATTAAAGAAAAACAATGTTTTCTTTCTTGCAAATAAGCGGAGTGGATACGCGTGTTTTTCTAACCAAGAGTATTTTATTCACGTCAGAGTTAGGAACTACATTTGGGAAAAGAGAAAGCTTTTCTAATCTAAAAAACCCAAATGAACATAGGGCCTTAGTGACCATGTGGATGGCCAAAGAGCAGGGCCTTGCAAGCAGGGAGTCCCGCTGGTCACAGCCATCTTCTTCTAGAAGGTTCGGCTCTAGGAAGCCTGCGTGATCACTCACTGCTGCTCAACTGCCTCAGCACTTCACCCATGCCCTGTGTCAGCACCTCCCTTCACCTCACCACACACTTAGGAGATGATAGATTCCACTGGGGTGGGACCTACACAGGACTTCAGGAAGAGTCTGTGCTTGGTGCAAGTTTATAGACATACACCTTGTCAAGTTGAACTGAATTCCAATCAGACCTCACCTATGTCAAGCACTATGTGAGACTCTTTAAGACAGAGATGGAAACCTCTATTCTGCTCATCATGGAGTCATTGTAAGTAGCCACTGAAGAAATATACAGCATCATGCTGAGATGATGAATTATTATTGGGTGAAGATGTTAAGCCAAAATTACTAAGAGAAGCAAGAATTCTCATGGGAAAGTGGTCAGGGAGCAAATCGAATATGTCACAATCAACTTAATTCAAAGAAGTTTAACGTAATTGATACAGAGTTCCTACTTCTTTCCAAGTTATGCACTAGTCCCTGCATGCTGAATACCCAGGCTGGAGTCTTAAGATCTTTTTTCAACTACCTCAGTCTTTTTTCCTTGCCTTGACCAGTGCCAGTCCTAGTATCCTGGCTTTGTCTCCCTTCTCCAGAACCAAAGGCTGAGATCTCAGAATATCCACAGCTTGAACATGTCATGACACTGGAAGAATCAGACTGTCAAACCAATCTGGTTAAAATTCTTGTCGCTTATAGGTTGGTGGTCTTGGGCCAGTTTTCGACTTCAGTGGACCTGAGTTTTTTCATCCACTGTATAAGGATAAGAACTCACATTGTGCAAGTGAGTTCTGCATTGGCAAGAGGGTTTATAAAGCTAATGCATGAGAGGCAGATGTCTTGGGATCTAGGCCATAGATGTGTGCAATAAATAACTTTGTGATGGTGACAGTGATAATGATGATCATGAGGAGAGTGATGGTGATAGGGTAATGAGGCAGATTAATTAGAACTCAAGAATAAGTATGATGAAGGGTGCAGAGATTCTAAATATGGAACTAGAAGGACTCTGAAACTCCCCTGGCCCAGCAGGACTTGGTGCCCAGCTCTTGGTGCCATCCCAACAGGAAGCTTTTTTCCAGGAGTCATGGGAACGGTCTTCCTCCCATTTCCTGAGGTGGCCACAGTCCTGAGTGGGGAAAGGCCCTTTTCATAGTGGCCTGACTCTCTGTAAGGGCTTCATTCACCTCAGGGCAGTTCCAGGTGCTGAGGGTTGCAATGGCTTGGAAGCCCATTCTGCCTTCTCAGAGCTTTGTCTGGATTGAGGAGGGGATGGGCAGGGCTGCACACAGTTGGGAAAAGCTACATGGTTTTCTGATTGGCAGTGGCCCTAACCACAGGGTACCCCAGGCTGTAGGGACTGATCCTGACTCAACTCACATGATGATTCCAAAGTGGTTTCCCAGGAGGTAGGTGGTATCATCTCTCTGTCTATGGTGCTCTCGCCTTTGAAGGAAGGACAAGACCAAAATGATGAGAAACTGTAAGAGAAGAGGAACAAGTTAGTGGGCTGTTTATTCTCAGCCTGGCCCTCACAGAAAGAGAATGTGTAGGTGAGAAGAATGCTCAGGATGGGACGAGGGAGATAGCTCAGTAGAATAAGCACTTCCCTGGCAAGCACAGGGCCCTGAGTTCAATCCCTAGTTCTGCAAAAAAAAAAAAAAAAAAAAGAATGCTCAGGATGTCTGAGACATCTCCAGTTCAGGATCATGGACTGGCTACATACATGTGAGCTGTCAGAACTTTTTTCTTTTTTTTTGGTATTGGGAATTGAACTCAGAACCTTGCACTTGCCAGGCAAGTGCTGTGCCACTGAGCTGTATCCTTGATACTGCCAGAATGTTTTGCATCAAGGTTTCCTTTGTGTTACCCTGATCAGGTTCAAATCAAACCTTTCCCACATCCCAGAAGGGACTCCTAACTTCCCTGAACCTCGGTTTCCTCATCTATGAAAAGATAGTAATATCTGTTAGGCTGCAAATCTTTCTCTGCTGTGTTCCTGTAGATTCAGCTGTGTTCTCATGCCCTTGATAGACTTTCCTTTTATCAGAAGGTTTTTGAGATCTGTCTACAACTGCTGTCTTCATCTCTTGGCCTCTCATTCATTCTTTTACTCTTTTAATCTGGTCTTGATGCTATTACTCCATTGAAGCTGCTGTGCCCAGCGTCACTACCAACAGTCTCACTGCTCACTCCAGTTACACTTTAAGCCCAAATCAGCGTGGTCTCTCAGCAGCCTGCCTCTGTGGTGACCACTTCCAGCTCCCAGAGCGCTCTGCCCCTGGTTTCCATCTGCCTTTCCTCCATTTCCATTCAGTTTCATTTGCTGCATCCTTTTCCAGCTCCTAGAGTTAGGGCTTCTCCTGGCTCCATCCAAGGGACACTTTTCTTTGTACCTGATCTTCTTCTCCTCATTGGCCTCATCTATGTCCATGCTTTTAATGATCCTTAACACATAGAAGACTCACCAGCCTGTGTCTCCACTCCAGCTCCTTCGCACAGGAGTGGGACTGTACAACTACACAATTGGCATTTCTTTCTGGCATGTTAAAAGCTTTTCAAGTTCAGTATGTCTTAAAGGAAGCTCATAATTTTCCCCACGGCCCTATTTCTTCATTGATCCCAAACCAGGGTCTCTTCTAATTTTTTGTAACTAGTGAATTGCAGGCACCATCTTTCTTGTTGTGTAGGAGCCTAGAACCATCCTCAGCCTCTGCCTCTCCTTAACCATCCCATCCAACCCACTATGAACTCCTACTGTTTTGCTTCTTGACTCCTGTCATTTAGAATGCGCTAGAGCCAGCTCTCCCCAGGCCCTTGTGACAGTCTCCTAGTTGGCCTTCCAGCCCTTCCCTTGCTCTTCTCCAGCCTGATCTCTACATTGAGCAAGAGTGAATTTTCAAATACACAGATCTGATCACACTACCTTCATGCTAAAAGCACTTCAATTACTTTCCATTGTACCTAGAAAGAAGACAAAATCCAGCACAGAGCCCCACAGAGCTCTTCTTGGACTGGGTCTCCTGCCTTCCTAGACTTGCCACATCAGCCATCCTGGCCTCTCCAATTCCCTGCACCCCCATGTCTCCTCCTTCCACAGGAGTTTTGCAAGGCTCTCTCCTCTGCCTCAGATGTTCTTTACTACAACTTACAGCAGACTTTGGCTCTATCTCTCTACTTTCTCAAAAAGTTCTTTCTTTCTTTCTTTCTTTCTTTCTTTCTTTCTTTCTTTCTTTCTTTCTTTCT